TATTCGCCAACTTGGTTCAAATTGGCTTATATTCATACCGCTTAAGAGCTTTTATTTATTTTTTATTTTTTTATTTTTTTTAAAAAAAGTAGTTTTAACCGATCCAAATCAAGTTAAGAACCGACATTGTTTCAGCTTATGTTAAAGACTAACCTAATTCATACAATAGCCACCATCCTTAGGGCCTGTTCACATTGACTGAACTCAGCTGAACTGAACTGAATATTTTATAAGAGATGGAAATTATGAGCTGAGCTGAACTAAGCTCAGTTGAACTGAAAATAAACGTATGGGAACAGACCCTTAGTTGCACAAAAGTCATATAAAAAAACAGTAAAATAACACATAAATTGTGACATTGGCTTAAGAAAATCATTTACCTTACTAGTAAAACTTAAACATAATTATGTTTTGGCCAAATCTCATTAAAATCATATATTTTGTATCCTGTTAAAAATTATAATTAGTCCTCATTTCAAAAATACTAATGATGTCATCAAATAGCTCCCCCACCAAAAAATTCAAGCTTTCTCAAATCTCAACGTTTGAAATTCTTGTCCTAACATAAATTTTAATAAAAAATTATCATAATTTATCTCAAAAAAAAAAAAAAAAGGAAAAAAAGTAGTGAGCTGAAGGCTCCTCTAACAAGGGTGGTTGTCAAGAAAGATCGAAGCTGAATCTCCGTCGTGTACTCCTCACCTCTCTTTCTCTCTCCTCTCAATTCCCCGCATACTTCGCAGATTATCCTCTTCCTCTTATTATTACCCCCATTTTGCTCTTTTTCCTCTCAATTTTCTAGATTACACAAGGAAAAAAAATTAATAAAAATCCCACCTTTTTTCCTTGTTTAGTTCTATTATCATCTTTTTTTAATTACCCTTAATGAATTCCCCATTTTCTTGGGATTATTTTGAATAAATTTCCTTTATTTTGTTGTTGATATTTATTGCTGATTTTGTTTGTCTTTATTTGTTTTGTTGTTGTTAGAAGGCTGTTCATTTCATATCCAATCATTTGAAATTGTGGATAAAAAGGAAAGAATTGTACAGTAAATTTATTTTTTGGGGTCAATTTATCTGTTGTTAGATTGAATTTTGCCCATTTTTGTGTGTGATTAGATCTTCTAGGAACATTCTTCTTCAATTTTGAATTTTTATCAAGTTTTAAGGGACCAAGTTTAGGGGTTTTTTCTTATCTGGGTATTGGAAATTCAAGCATTTTAGCTCAAAATTTGAACCCTTTTATCAAATCTAAACATTTGTATCCTTGAATTTGAACATCTTTGATCAATTCAGAAAACCCCAGAAAGAAAAAAAAAATGTATGCTACAGAAAGCAAAAGAAATATGTCATTTGAGTACCAGGCACAAATAATCAATTATAGGCCTAGTCTTCATACAAGGAGGGCAAATTTGACAGTAAAATTTCAAGATATTTATGGGTTTTCAGTTGAAGGGAATGTTGATGATGTGAATGTGTTGAATGAGGTGAGAGAAAAAGTGAGGGAACAAGGAAGGGTTTGGTGGGCATTGGAAGCTAGCAAAGGTGCTAATTGGTACCTTCATACTCAAGTCTCATCAACCCTAAAAGCATCCCTTAAATTATCAGCTTTAGCTAATGCAATCACTTTGAAAAGGTTGATTAGGAAAGGGATTCCACCTGTTTTGAGGCCTAAGATCTGGTTTGCATTATCTGGTGCTGCTAAGAAGAAATCGACCGTGCCTGAGAGTTATTATGATGATCTTATTAAGGCGACCGAGGGCAAGGCCACGGCCGCTACCAAACAGATTGATCATGTGAGTTGAATTGGTTCTTTTTGGGCTGTGTTGATCAGTCTTACAGTTGGATTTTTTATTGTTATTGTTTATTTGCAGGGTGGATTTATTTTCTGTACATTGTAATCAAAATGTGTTGTTTTCTGTTGACTTTGATTTTGATTTTGATGTTAATATGTGTATTTAACTTTTTTAAGCATTATGCATTGTTCATAGCTGATTCTTTTAGTAAGGTTTTCTTATTTTTAATTTACAATCGTCATCAAATTAATGGACTAGTTGCTGGATGAGAACATGTGATTTCTTTGTACGGTATAATAGGTTAACTGTAGAATTTGCCTTATCGAGGTTTCTTTGTTTTGCACTTTGTCAAAGAAGACATGGACCAATCCATCTCCTTTCTCTTTTGTGTGTACTTCATGGTAATTGATGCCATGATGCATAGCATTCATTTGGTAAGATTTGTGTGATGATGTATCTTCACCCTAGTTATGTGTGATGAGCCATGGAAGGGGTAGTGGCATTCCAATGTGGTGAGGCATTCCTGTCATAGTTGGTGGTCATGAGGTTTTGTATGAGTTCTAGCTTGGTGAAGCTATAGATAGAATTTGATAGTCATGTTTATGGCATCACGCTATCACTTTAGTAATTTGCCTACAGATCTCAAATTTGGAGCTCAGTGGATTTTTGTTGATATCGCTTTTACTATAGTTGCAGTCTTGCAGTTCTGTCAGAGCAATTCAACTGATATAGAAGTGAAAGACAAGGGAACGGTTATCCTTGTGAACCCTTTTAATCCTCCAAATGCGTGCAAATCATGTACTAGTAGTTTGTAAATATGGTGGTGTAATTTTAGAGAAAATTAGTAACATCATTTTACAATTGTGATTTCATACATATATGTTGTTCACTCCCTCTAATAAGGGACAATATGAACTTAAAGTGCAGAGCCAAATAGTGTGGCTAGTAACTGGGTTGACAGCTTTCCTGTATGCACACATTACAAATTCATTGCATAACGGCGAATGAATTAGTATAGCAATTTAATTTTTTATATTTAATATCTCCTTGGCCATATATATGTCCATCGTCCATGGCAGGAAAATGGGAAATGTGGCTATGCATTTTGATTTGAGTATATGTTGGAATATGTGTAAATACTTTTGCAGAATTCATGAAGTCTCCTATATATTTGCAGGACTTGCCTCGGACTTTTCCTGGCCACCCTTGGTTGGATACACCTGAGGGCCATGCAGCACTCCGGCGTGTTCTTGTTGGGTACTCTTTTCGTGATTCTTATGTTGGTTACTGTCAGGTGATTCTATTATCTCATTTAATGTTGCAAAATAAGGGAATTGACATTATTAGTGCTGGTACACTTCATGTTTCTCTCATTTTCGTATCATTCAATGATTCTTCAATTGAAGAATTTAGGCTGATTTTAATATTGTTTGTATGATTGTATCAATCGTCATGATTCTTCAATTGAAGCATTGATGCTGATTTTAATATTGTTTGTATTATTGTATTAATTGTCATAAACATACAACATTCATTTCTACTCCCTCCACTCCTTTATATGACAGAAAGGTGTCTTGTACTTGTAGAACCGTACTCCTGCTCCACATATTAACCTAGTTCAATTGGTGTTTCAGGGTTTGAACTATGTTGCAGCATTACTATTACTCGTTATGAAAACAGAGGAAGATGCCTTTTGGATGCTAGCTGTCCTGTTGGAAAATGTGTTAGTCAGTGACTGTTATTCAAATAACTTATCTGGGTGCCATGTTGAGCAAAGAGTATTTCAGGATTTACTCACTCAAAAGTATCCGAGGTACTATTGTATTTCCATTAGAAATTGATTGCCCTATGATATCAACTGTTTTGATTGTTTTCATAAAAAAATTTGAAACAAAAAACTGCAGGATAGCTACTCATTTGGAAGCCTTAGAATTTGATGTCTCCCTTGTTGCCACTGAATGGTTCTTGTGCCTCTTTTCAAAAAGCTTACCTTCAGAGGTTTGATCAAATAATTTTATCTTGTCTATCTGTTTTTCAATATTTAAAGTTTGTTCCCCCTCATAACTGCTACTCTTCTGGAGTCCATTCCACAGACAACTATGCGGGTGTGGGATGTTCTATTTTACGAGGGAGCTAAAGTTTTGTTCCACGTAGCTTTGGCTATATTTAAGGTGAGTCTTTACTTATCCTCTGTGCTATTAATATCTTAGTCTTCCAATTTTTGTTTGTAGGTCAAATCTCTATGAATTAGACATGGTTAGAGTGAGTTTGCGACGATATGATGAACAGATTCTTATACAGTATACTATTTACTTGCAGATGAAAGAGGATGAGTTGCTTCTGAGCCATCATGTTGGTGATGTAATAAGCATATTGCATAAAACTACTCACCACATGTTTGACCCTGATGATTTATTGACGGTAAGCTGAAGTTCATACTGAATTTGCTTTTTGGAGTTGGCCATATCAGTTTTTAGCTTAAAATACTATGCTACTTAGATTCCTCATTTTACCTTAACCTGTGTTGGATCTTCAACACTCCAACATATGCATTGCCACTCATTTGGGACCAAAAGATAACAGGGAAATCTTACATAAAATAGGGATGACACTTTCTTGACTCGAGTACAAGAGTCCATGCAAATTAGTCACTTGTTCATCCTGGAGTGAGCTGTCAATTAATCTGCAATCATCTCCATTCAAAATTTTGGATCCTGATTACTGGGCTACTTTGTGCAGGTGGCTTTTGATAAAATTGGTTCTATGACCAACATAATATCAAAGCAGAGGAAAAAGCAGGAACCTGCTGTCATGAAAGAACTTGATCAGAGATTTAGACGGCTGAATTCCCTTAACGATGCAAGTTAACTATCCAGTTAGCCTGTAGACCTAAAGTGTAATTGTACATGCCCCAGGCATAACTGCAAGTGCAACTATGACCGGAGGCATTTTGATGTTTGTAATATACCGAGTACATTTTCTGCAGAATTGTAGTTACATATTTTGTAAATTAACAGAATGTAACAAAAAAAACTAATTAAATCCCTAAAGAGGGCTGCTTCTAATATATGCCCCTTATTGGCTTGTTCATTTCTCACTAAGAGCAGCAAAGACATAGGGAAACAAGATGGAAACAGTTTTTGTTCAACCACTTCAAATCCAGTTCTCTAGTTTGTCAAATGATGATTAAAAGAAAATCGTGTGTTTTTACGTAGCAAGTAACCAAGATGCTTGATATACTTGAAAAGACAACTTTAGCTTTACAAAATTGCCGTGGCTATACACAATGAATATTGATCGCAAAATAGGGTATAAGTGTGCATAGTTAGCAGAGTTGACAGACTTCACAGCTTATATAGCAGTTCGATAAATATGACATTTTCGCCAACTTTTTTTTACAAGGATCTAAGGAATTTACAAGTCAGCGAGTCAAGAGATAAAGTAACTTGGAGAATTGGTGGGAGAGATATCCATGTCCTCCAGATTGTCAACAGGAGTAACGCACACATTGGCTTCCAGCTGTCCTGCCACATTTGTTACCATTGGGTTATGATTATGTTCCGGAACATCATCTAACATGCGGGGAAGATCACCATACATATTCATCAGATGGGAGAAATCACCGTAACAATCTTGCTGCTCTTCGAGTATATAGTTCCAAGTAGGTGGGCGAGAGCATGGTATTTGACCAGAAATCTGAGAGTGTCCGCACCTGTAGGCAATTTCCCTGTGCTTTCTAGTCCAGTCAGGATGGCTCCAGAGATAAAGGGGAGGAGTAACATTGTTCCATTGTGATAGTTGCTTTTCACGAGTATCACAAGATCCAGGAAGGTAGAATGCCTGACAGCAAACAAATCAATTGCATACCACATACCTCAAAAGTCAGATCTAATAATGAAATAAGGAAAGAAATTAGACTACTTCAAACCACATACCTCGCCAGAGAGTAGATATGAATCCTCCCATATCAAATCATACCTTGTGCGGGTCGGGCCTTTCCCAGAATCAAGCCTACAATGACAATTTACTTTGACAGGGGAAAAAATGGAGTAAAGAAGAGATTCAGTAACAAGAAAACGCATGCCCATACCTCCGAGTTTCTGGTGGGACAATAAAAATGAGAAGCTTTGGGTTAAATTGAAGAGCCTTATTGATGAACTGGTTAGCCAGTGATGCCTTAACTCCGAAAGGAGGATTCAGCCCCATTATCTAGCCAACAGAAAAAGAATAAAGGCACAAGTTCAATGAACAATGAAAAAGTAAATAATATCAAGTCTGAGCCAGGCATTTCACCAGTCGAGAGCCTTCTGCCAGTTCTCCAGATTGAACACTAAACCAATCCCTTCGTTCAAAATTGAAATCATTCTGCAGTACGTTGAATAACAAGTCAACACAAAACAGTATCCCATATTACAATTTTAATCATGCATAGTACTGACAGAAAAATAAAAATGGCCTCTGGATCAAGAACAGAGCGAATAAATCTTATGTGCATTCTGTTTCCTAAACCAGGTAACCTAGTAGAACAAAGAAAACAAAGAAACAGCTGATCTCATTCTTAATTAATATCTAACACAATATATACAAGACCCAGCCAATGATATTCTCATTCTTACCAGATTTTCCAGCTTACAAACAAAGCCCATGATTGATTAAACCTTAAGAAATAAGCCACGGTTAAAAAATTTCAACAACCCATATAACAAAGCATTGTCAATTAGTCCAACCTTCCTAATAATGGCTTTACCACTGGAATTTAATCAACACCATAGAATTCTGGTCTTAAATCCAAATCCTAGGGAGAGGGGAATCGAGACAGTTCTCATTATCTTATCAGTATCATACTATTCAACCACTCAAAGGTCTGACATGGACAATTTTCCTTTATTTCACTTCATAGAGACATTTCTCTTTCAATTTCATTAATTCTATGATAAATTACAATTACTAAGGCTTTTGGAGCTAGGCACATTCCAAGCAACAATTTAAGCCATTTATACAAGCAGGCTAGCAGCATGCTAGCATCTACTAAACAATTATACATATGGAGGCTTCTACACTGGATACAAAATGCTGATTTTATTATTCCTCCCAGGCAAGCCATAAATAGTAAATGGGGGTGATATGAGTCATAGGACGGCTGACATGTTTAATCTAGTATTATGAGCAGCTGTACTATTACCAAATGTGCAGATTATGTGAGAGAGTGGTGGTTTGTGGACTTTCTATGATATCATATTATGTACCAGAAAAGCAGTGTCTTGGTAACTATGTCTAGCTAGTCAAGACTGGAACTAATGACAATGGTCAAAGTACCAAATACCAACAGTATCAAGATGCCAATTATTAATTTATAAGTAATGGTAATGATTCCCCACCTTTGATGGAAAGAGATCGAAATTTTTGAAATAGCACTTCTTCCCAACATCAACCAGCTTCTTTTTCATCAAACAGCTGAATTCATTAGCACCACAGCAGAAGTCCACTATCTACAACACCATAGGCAATTCAAATTACATCAGCAACTCAGTGATGATACCAATAATCATATTAGGATCTACCATCTGACTAGCTAGACTGCTATAATGTTGCCTCAACTAGCTTTGCTTTGACTTTTAACCCTCTTCGCAATATTGACACCGCATATATACACAAGAGGTGCTGCTACATTTTTTTTTTTTTGTAGATTTTTTCAGTGCTTGGAACTTGAGTACTAAATAAAGAAGGTGAGATTAAGGAAAGTATTCTCACCATATCACCGTCTTGGACATACCAATGTAGCCTTTCAACAATCTGGAAAAGTAATTAAAAAAAATGATTATGAGTAAGGGATTTTGGATTTTTTTTTATTTATTTTTGGTACAGGGAGGAGGAGGGGTGGTGGGAGGGATGCTTTTATGTGATTTACAATACCATTAACAACCACATGGAAACTGCAAGGGAGCAAAAGATGTGCTAATCAGAAATCAGGCATCAATGATAACATTTGTAGGTTCCAGCAGTAAAAGATCAAGGGGAGCCCTGCATGGATTTCTCCCCAATTTCAAATGAGCACAACAGATAGTGCATAAACTTAATACTCCAAACCTCATGTTTTATTTCAAATACGTTAACCACTCCCCTACACACAGATTGCCATCATCGTTATAAAAGACTATGCTCATGAATATGCAGCTATATGGGTAGTATAAACAGGAATCAATCTAACAAGGACAGGAAAACAGTAAGCCCTCAACATGTACTTTGCAGTGAAGACTTTGGTCTTAAGTTATATAAGGGGTCAAGGATCTTAAGGAAACCATCTGTCAAAACAATGCTATAACAGCCACATTATATTTTATACACCTGAAGACTGAACCCACCAAAGTCTAACATTAAAACAGCCTTCACAAAAGGCACTTTACAACAGTGTGGTGTGATCTGGAAAGAAAATTAATTCAAATATCATCATGGCTAGCCAATTAAAGCAGTTGTAATATATTTGTACACGTGTGTACATCATAGCCATGATGTCACATCAACAGCTTAAGTTAGTGCAGTGTATGAAGTTAATGTTTGTTAAGTCCAATGACAGCATATAAACCACTGCAGCCAGAATAAATATACACAAAAGGTGAACCAAGATACAAACAACTGACATGAAAAAATCAAGGAATTTTTTTAGAATGACAAGAGAGGAAACTTTACGAGCTATTTTCTCACAAAAAACCTGCTGAGGTTAAGCTAATGGTTTCAGAAGCAGTTTTAATGTAAAAAGAATAAAGAAATTCATGAGATATATTCGAACAGCACAAAGGTGAAGCTGCTAAAACACAAACTCTATTTAACCTCATGCCACTCACTACACTTCTATGTTGTCCATCGCGAACGCAGAGAACAATGTGTTATAAAATTGTTAAATGTTGCCAAATTGTTAAAATCCCACCTCCTTTAGATATTTCAAGTGCTTTCCTAGACTATCATATAATTTTCCTAGGCCTTAGATTACCTTGTCATAATTATATCAATTCATTGTTCACAAGGAAAGCAATGTAAGTCCAAAAAGTTCTTTAGGGAGCAGTGAATAAGCTTCCTACTCAAAGTAGTGTTGCTTAATTATTTGTGTTGCATTGTAGACCTTTATAGATTATGTATTGCCAGACTTCGCCACTTGTTTAAAGCAAACACCCCCAGATTTCCCAAGAGTCCTAAAATAAATAAGTATTTGTTGTCGACTTGTGCCTTCCTTGACATGCTCGCCTTCACGACCCTCATCTCCGCTCTTTTCACCAATAGAAAATTAACTCAACACTTGCTTGTGTTGCCATGTGTTCACAAAATCCCTTTCAGCACTCAGTTTATGCCCTTGTCGCCACATGTACATGAACACGCGTCAGTCAAAAGACTCAAAACACACTAAGACCATGTGACCACATGCAAGAACACTTGAGACCCAGACGCAACCTCTTTTTAGCAGCTACCATCAGACACCACCGTCCTCACAAACACACACACGCACACAAATTATTTCCATGATTTCAGAAAATCAAAAACATACGAACCATAAGTTTCTACCTCAAAATTGTTCATTAATAAGGATAACATTTCAACGTAACACTGTAGCTGATGTGGATCTAAGTGATACAACAAGGCAACGACTTTAATTGTCAAGCTGATCTTACCAAAGAAAGAAAGTTCAGAAAACAATCTTAAGCAACTGAAAATATTCATAGACATCCACCCTTCAACTGGGTGTAGCAGTAAGTATTTATTAAAAAAATAAAAATAAAAAACATGCAATCCCTATGAGCTCAAAAGACTAAGAAACCTAAGGACTTAAAGCTCACAAGCGCAAGGCCACACGCCAACTACAGATTAAAAAGGCTAACTAAAAGAAAGGCCAAAATGTACAACCCATAATTTAAGATACATGATAAAACCATGTTAGCAAATAATCAAAAGAAAACAATAACAACAGATGAAAGCTCACAATTGCAAGCTCACATGCCTCTCTAAGCCTTGATCCAAACTTCCCAAGAGATTACAATCCAAAGCCCAATGTATTTAAGATCTCAAATGGCTCATTAGAAGGAACTTAATTATAACTTGTGCTGATAAACCCTTCCACTTCTAGGAACTCTTGAAGCTTCTTGGGTCTCATCAGTAGCAAGCTTTCTAAAAATCTAGTAGTAGTAACAAAAACACAAGTTCTACAAGAAAACAATCGTAGCAATACTATAATCTTTTCATTTAAAAGGTAAAAACACAATCAAGGAAGGCCCTATAAACTGTTTCCAGACTTTCCACAGTTTCCCAAAATTATCAAAGTCATAGTAGTCATATATTCTAATTTGGTCAATGTGCTTCCAGAATAATGCACTACTGCAGTAAAGCATATTTATAACACATCTTGTACAAGTTCATTAAGTAATTAATGTAACAGTTTTAAAAAAATAAAATTAAAAAAAAAAATCTCATAAAATTTATACACAAAATTTATAACATTCCCTAATAAATTTCTCACAAAATTATACACAAAATCAGTATTATTCCTTCAATCATGACATTTGCAGTAAAATAGCAATTAGTTCACCTATATTCAGTTGTTTGTGAAAGTTAAAGTAGAAGAATCATCATAAAAGAGTTTTCTACTCTGGTAATAGAAGAACTTGCCTCTTGAAGCTTATCCGGTTTCGTGAAGTGTCGTCCATAGGATGAATAGGACATGCCATGTATAAAAGGTGCAAGATACACATTAAGCCTTTTCTGCAACCATATAGCCAATATATGTGCTTCAATTAGCATAAAATAGTTTACTTGAAATCAATCCCATTTAGACATTGTTCCTTTCGCCTTATTTATTACTCTGTTAAAATCAGACTAAACCAAACTAGTCTTACAAAATTCAGATCAAACCAAAACTTTGTATTTCCATTTGCATATTGTCATATACCTTTAATTACATACTTGCAAAAATTATATAAATAAGATTTTTTGAAAAATACACATTGAGACGAATCTAACAATATCCCAATTGATAATGATGTTCTTATACATTCACATACAACTAAGGTCAAAGTTCAGGAAAATCAGACCAAACCAAAACAATTCAGATAACAGACCAGATCAGAATTTAAAAATTCTGTTCAAAACACATTTTTAGGTAAAGAGTACAAAGCCTTAATCCCTTAAGCCATCATCTTACACTTGCCAAAGGAAATGAAGGTGCATGCAGATTAATAAGTCAGCGAGCAGAATGCCAGCCTAATAATCAGGAGCAAGTTGGTGTAAACCTAGAGCAATATGGCAAGAGATTAAGATGCAAGGGTGATTTTCACAATGTCCATCTCAATTTATAACATAGAAACTTACACACTATCCATTGTAGATGGAATGCTACAGATGCACAATTGCAACTTGCAAGTTAGTTGAAGTCATTACCACACTTATTCATTCTAGTATACTAAAATCTGAAATGTAAAAAAAAAAAAAAAAAAAAAAAAGTGAAATATAAATCAAATAAAGTTGTTTCAAGCAAAAGAAGGGGATGCTACAAAATTTCATGCAGTAGAAAAGTTTTTAAACATTCATTTTATCATCACCTTTACAAGGCGATTTCAGCAATATATAAATCACGATAAATGGGTAAGACACAGGCAGCAAGCTGGCATAAAAAGCGTAGCCCGTAATTACCTGCATGTGAAAAAATATTTGATATTCACATCCCCACTTTACCCATCAGTTTTTGCCCAAAGTTTCCATATGGTAAGGGTACAAAGCAACAATAACACAAACCCATCCCCAAAGTCAAAACTTCACTCCAAGTTTATATTATTGTTGGTTGTTATTAAACAGATTTTTCATTTACATTGAATACTTTTGATTCCCAAAATAAGCAAAAGGTTATATCAGAGATTTACCGTAGCATCTACACATCAAATGTCATTTTGGCCTATAGTCCATTAACAAATACTAGTATCCCGGTAACAATATGCACAAACATGATTACTGAAAGGAAAGTTCATTAACAGTCCAAAACTTCCATATTGGGAGTTGGCAAAGCAATCCTGCGCTACAGTGGGTCTTTGGGACGTTTTTCCAAAGTGAGCCAATTTTGGCAAATATTAACCAAAATGGTTGCGTGGCAAAAGTATTTACCAAACTAAGCTTCCAGGCTAAAACGCTGTCTCGGTCAGCGTTTTATGCCTGGTTTTTTTTTAAAAAAAAAATCAACCTAAAAACGCTGTCTGGACAACGTCTTTGTTGTTGACCTTTTTTTTTAAAATTTTTGTAATTGCCTTTTATTTATAAAAATGTTTTAAAAAAAAAAACAGTTATACCAAAGATGCTGTCCAGACAGCGTTTAACTCTGGAACTATAAACGCTGTCTCAGACAGCGTTTAACTCAGGAACTATAAACGCTGTCTCAGACAGCGTTTAAGGTTATTAATGAAACGCTGTCTGAGACAGCGTTTCTGTCGTTTTTTTTTTCCCTCCAACAGCGTATTTCATTTCATTTCCTCCTCCTTCATTCTCAAACCCCTTCTTTCCCAAACTCTAACTTAATCCCCCTCTCTCTCATACTTGAGCTCCTCCGTGTAGACCGCCGCCGGCGCCGCCACCTCCACCGTCGCCCGCCGTCACCTCCACCGCCGCCCTCCGTGTAGCCCACTATACACTCCCCTCACCCTGAAATAGGTATTCATTCAACTTTCTTTGTGTTTTAAATTCTAGGGTTTATGTTGGTGATTTCTAATTTTTTTGGAATTGGGTTAAAATGTTGATGAGGTTGAGTTGTTAGTGTTAAAAATATTGAATTGTTAGTGTTGGTATTGTTGAATTATTAGTGTTGGTAATTGTTGAATTGTTAGTGTTGATAATGGTAGTGTTGATATTGTTAGTGTTGATAATAGTTTGGATAATGTTGAATTGTTGTTGTTGGTTTTGTTGAAAATTGTTGACAATGGTTGATAATTATTAGGTTTTGAACAATTGTAATTACCTACATTGTTGTGTAATAATGGTGATTTAGGGGTTCTTAGTAGTTAATTTGTAGAGTATATAAAAATTTTTTGTTTGATTGTGGTGATTTAGGGATGATTTAACGGCTTTACGTAAAATGTGTTTTGTTTGTTATGTAGAATATGGCTGGACAAAATGTAGCGTTATGTCGATGGGGAGGTGAAATTTTGTGTAATGGATCAAATGTGGAGTACAGTGGAGGGAATATGGACCTTATAACACTTGAACTGAACATGACTGTGACTGTGATGAATGAGGTTCACAGTTGTATTGGTTCAAACCCTATGACTGTTGAACTGAACCTTAAAATGAGGTGTGATACTGGTCATGGGGTGCAAGTGTTACCTGTCTCTACGAACAGACATTTGAAAGGTTTGAGGAGCATGGTAGGAATGAAGGGTTTTCCCAATGAGATATATGTAGAAACAGTGCCTATATGTACCCAACAAAGTACTCGGGCAGAAGCAAGCTACATATGTCTCTGATAACAACACTGCGTCCTTCCAAGAGCCCGCAAACCACATTCCATCGAATGCATATGGGATGGGTTCTTTCACTCGAATGATGCAGGACGACCAATTTCACTTGCCTTTTAGTTCTCATATAGCTTCACCAGTACATGCGGGGGGACGCGTGACAGTGTTCGGCCAGCCTGCTCCGTCGTCATCGAACACCGTGGCATCTTCGCCGATGCAATTGCATAGCTACTCTCCTATGCAAGGTGATGATGGTTCACCGTTTCGAGAAGAGCCAAATCATTTTGATGATGTTGTGAATAATGAATTGTCGGTGTATGATGTGTATGCGGAAATGGATGATGAGGACGAGAACGGAGAGGGGGATGATGAACCTACACAGGTGGAAGATGGTCAGCCGTTGGTTAGAACTCCCATACCTTGGTTCAGTGAGGTACCCGAGAACTATGAAGTTGATCAGTATTGGGCCGAATCGGGTAGCCACACCTCTTTTGTTCCCGGGGGAGAATTTGAGAAGGGAATGTATTTTGAGAGCAAGAAACTGCTTGCTTCAAGAAATGGTGAAGATGTATTCTATTCAGAGGAATCAATTCTACACCACAGTGACCTCGAATGATGGTGTCCTACATCTGCGGTGCAAGAAGAAATGTGGTTGGATGCTACGGGGTACCAAATCGAGTGAGCACTCACGTGGTTTTACCATAGTCACGTACAAAGGCCCGCATCGGGAGACATGTATCACTGAAGTACTATCTAATGATCACCCACACTTGGATTCGTCCGTAATAGCCGAGTATGTGAAGTCCTTTGTGCGGAAAGATCCTTCGTTGAAAGTGGAATTCATACAGGAACTGATCTCGAAGCAATTTCATTTCGATGTCCCGTATCGACGAGCGTGGTATGCCAAGGAGAAAGCTATAGCTGAGATATTTGGGGATTGGGAGAGTTCATATGGCAGACTTCCCCACTTCATGCAAGCACTCCTACGGTCGAACCCGGGAACATGTGTCGTATGGAAACACAAAGCTTTAGTGGATGGTGTATACTACAGCAACATGGAAGTGTTTGAACGAGTGTTTTGGGCCTTCGGTCCTTGTATCGATGGCTTTAAACATTGTATGCCTGTTTATGCCTTTCAATCGAAATTAGTATTCAATATATTGTGTTAGTGTTTGGTGTGTAACGTTTTCAATGAACAGATATCATGGACGTACGGGATAGGACACCCGGACCTGTTGACCCTTCTGACACTACAGGACACCCATCGGAGCGTCGACGTATGGAACCTGACGGTAATGATTCATCTTTAACGTTTTTGGATTCTTTGATGTACTATCTTTTGTTACTTATAAATGCTCCTGTGTTTTCAGGGTGACGTAGCGAAGCCACTACAGTGGAGGCACTACAGGACCCCCTGTGTTGTCCATGATCGCTGTCTTGAGTACGTGACGTACGCTGGCTTTGGCGGTGTACATCGTTTGGGATTCAGGGAGATCGACCGACACCTTGTCACGGCGTTAGTGGAGAGATGGAGGCAGGAGACGCACTCCTTCCACCTACTAGTTGGGGAGGCGACTGTGACATTGCGGGACGTGGCAATACTGACGCGCCTTCCAGTACAGGAGACTGCGGTGACGGGATCATTTCTAGTCGATCCTGTTGGATTGGTTGTGCGGGTTCTCGGGGTGCAGCCGGGTCCCAACGATGTTAGGGGCTCCGCCTTGAGGACGGTCTGGTTACGAGATACTTTCCAGGGCTTGCCTGCGGACGTCGATGACGCCACAGTATAAAGATACGCTCGAGCGTACTTGTTCTTCCTCATATCCGGCGTGTTGTTCGGCAACAAGAGCGGGAGCCACTTGCAGCTTATTTACCTACAGCTGTCAAAAGCTAACACGACATGACAACCCGATACAAACCCAACACGAAATAAGCGGGTTTGGGTCAAGAATTCTCGACCCGTTTAAATAATTGGGTTGACACGAACCCGACACGTAATTAAACGGGTTAGGTTTGGGTTGAAATTTTCAACCCGAAACCGACACGCATAACCCGATTATGTAAATGGGTTGAACAACAACCCGTTAACACGAACCCGACACACTTAACCCGATTATTAAGTAGTAAAAGATACCTGATTTTTTATTCTAAACTTCTACTGTACTGATTTTGTAGAAAGCATTGGCGCTATTCTTAAATTTTGGTAATTGTTTGGCGGTTTAATCTGGCGGTCAAATAATTTTTTTTAACTTTTTTACATTTCCCTTTTTCACTTTAGAGGATTCTAGATAGGCTTACCCGTACTCAGTTATTTGAAGTGGAGCAGCAAGCACAGTTAAAACAAACTTAATCACATATGTAATCCACGGAATTAAGTACTGATGCATGTTTTAGAAGTTATCATTTTGAAGGTTGGGACTTGGGACAACTCTTAGTATTGGTTGCGTTGCTAAAACCACTAGCTTTTTATTCTTGTAGTATCTTTTGCCAAAATTAGTAACTTTAAGCTCTTGTAGTATCATTAATGATGTATGTCTTTTTAATTACTATGTTGAATATTAATTAATTTATTATATATTATGTGGGTTAAAAGGTTACGCGGGTAACCCGTTTAATAAACGGGTTAGGTTTGAGTCAAGGGTTTTTTTCAACCCGTTTAATAAATGGGTTAGGTCAAGGGTTTTTCGAACCATTTAATATTGACACGATCACGAACACGACACGTTTGACAGCCCTAGCTCTATTCATGCTAAACAGTCTAGGCCGCACCCGCCATAGTCCACTTTATAAGCCCAAGATGGAAACCATGTGGCAATCAAGAGTAGCCCCTTAGCCTTATAAAGTAGACATAATTATCTTGTTTCAATGTGGGATACACATCCCAACACTTTTACAGACTTTCAATGTGGAAACACTTCCACCCATATGGATTAGTTCATGGGCACAAAACTCCCGTACATGTGAGTTGTCCATAATGGCTAGATGCCAACCCAACCCTACCTTAGCTCTAATACTATGTCAAACGAGTGTGGTCCACAACCACCACTATGTGTCCACTTTATAAGTCTAACCGATATCCACCTCAAAACCTTATGACAATGAGAGGAGTAATGCCTTGGCCTTATAAAATGGACACAACTTTCTTCTTTCTTCAAAATGGGATACACCATACACATCTTTAACACTTTTACCCTCTTTCTACTACCTCCGTTACATATTAGTTGCAACTTTCAGGTTGACACGGATTCTAAGACAAAATTTCATAATATTGGATTAATGAATTAAAGAAGGGGTAATTAAGCAAGGTAGGAGAGAGAAAGTGTATATGATTAATAAATTACCCACCACCATCAACAACACCCACCCCACCACCGTCGGCCAGCAGTAGCCATCCCACCACCGACGGCCAACAGAAGTCATCCCACAACTGTCGGCCAGCAACAGCAATCCCACCACTGTTGGCCAGAAGCAACCACCACACCACTGTCGGCCAGCAACAGCCACCCCAAAACACACACCTCAGACCCCTTTTAACCCAAACCACTCTAAAACCACCCCTTTTCAACCCAAACCGCCCTGAAACCACCCAATCTCAACCCGAAGCATCGTAAACCACTCCTCTCCACCTCAACAACCCCGAAATCACCCCTTCTTAGGTCAAACAACCCCGAAACCACTCCCTTTTAGCTCGAACCACCTTATCACTACCCTTTCTCAACTCAAACCACCTCGAAACCGTACCCACTTACCGCAAACCACCCTAGAAGAACCACCCCCACTCACTCCCAAAAACCACCAACATTCAACCTAAATCGCCCCAAAACTGACCCTGAACCACACCGAAACCACCCTCACTCACCCTAATCAACCCAGAAAATGCCTCGAGCCACCCCAAAATATCCTACCCACCCCGTAAATCAGTAGATCTAAACAATTGTTTTTCAAAAAAAAAAAAAAGAAGAGAGAGAAAACGGAACACCACAGGAGAAGTCGGAGGCGACGAGTTTGACAGTGGTGATGAGTATTGACGAGGTTCGTTGAAGGTGGTGGTTAGATGTAGCAACGACAACGGTAAAGGTGGTGCAGTGGTGGTCTAATTATTTTGTGGGAGATGAACGATTTTTTATGATTGTTGATTTAATTGGGTAACACTATTATGTTAAATAAGTTAGATTAGAAATTTAATGAAATCTGATTTTGGAAGCTAATTGTGTTTATGAAATCTTTAGTAAGGGTGTTTTTGTACTTTCATTGAAAAAAATTTACTATAAAGGGAAAAATTTGGAAAGTTGCAACTAATATGTAGCAACTCTTTTTGGCAAAAGTTGCAACTAATATGTAACGGAGGTAGTATGTGGGAAAACACTTCCACTCAGATGTGGTTTGTTCATTGGCCCAACAATTCACTTAAACAAATGTTGTTTTAGAATAATAACTACTCCTAAAATCCTAATCTCCCTATTTACTTGAAAAAATATTGGAGACAAAAACGATTAACCCATCTCCACTGATTTGGCAATTCTTCCTATATATGGTCTAGAAGTGACAAGGCTCCTAGCATTGCATAATTTTCCCTTGGTTTAGAAAATCCCCACTAAAACAATAATCATCTTCAAAGATTATCAAGTCTTACTTTCTATCCATAAGTATGACACGAAAAAAGCTACTCAAATTTATCAAATTAGATGCCATAAATGGGTTTCATATAGAAATCAACCTGCTGCAGATTAAAAGACAACTTATTGAGAAGATAAGCACTAGATTTCAAAGTTGCTATCCCCTCCCAATGAAATTCCCAGCTGGCAAAAGCTGACCCAACCCGACAACCCGACCTGAACCCAACCCGAAATAAATGGGTTTTGAGTGAGATTTTCAATCCGTTTAAGTAATTGGGTCAACCCGAACCCGAACTGAAAATAAACGGGTTAGGTTCAGGTTGAAAATCCCAACCCGAAAATAACCCGCCTTAACTCGTTTAACTAATTGGGTCAGTTTCAGGTCGGGTCAACCTGAACCCAACCCGTTTAACCCAATTAGTTTAAATGATATTTGGCCTTTTATTTGCAAATATGGGCCAAAGCCCAACCTATCCAAAGTCTAAAACAAAGTATGAAAGTAAAACCTAACTACTACATTTTCTTTGTCACGCCGCTTTCACCCATTCTCTCTCCTCTCTTTGTGTTTCAATATTTATCATCAAGATTTTCAGATTCAATGAAATTCACTTTTTTTTTTTTTTGAAAAAAGGGAATTCACTTGTTAAAAGGTCAATTATCCTCGCATTATATGTCATTTTGTTCAATCTATGCTCGTTAATCTTCCACCGCTCTTTCGTCAAGGTAATATACCCATCAATTTTATTCCTTTTATAGTTATGCAATTTAATTTTGTTATGAAATGTTGAAAATGTTGATTGTTTATTTGAACTCGTGATTTCTCTACATTTTGCTTGCTGAAATTAGTACTTCCTTGCTTTTGAAAATCTGGTTGATTGTCATTCTTCGGGTATACTTTTGAATTCTAATTATGCATTTTTTTTCTATGCACAAGCTTGAGGAGTCAAATGATGAACGAATGAAGTTTATGAACATAGATATGGTTGAGATAATTTAAAGAAGAAAGTCTACTTAGACTTGAGCCATACTTGTAATATCACCAAGTTTATACTACTATTTTGGTTGGAAATGTAATTGTCTAATTATTTGTGTTAATTATTGATTGAATGAAATTATACAAAAGGTTTTTGGAATTACCAGGTTGAACAATCTAAGGTTTAACCAAAAAAAAAAAAAAAAGGTCAAATCAGGTTGGGTTCAGGTCGACCCGTATAAATTCAGGTCGGGTTCAGGTTCATATTTTTGACCTGTTTATTAAACAGGTCGGGTTCGGGTTGGGGGTGTTGACCCGTTTATGTAAACAGGTCAACCCGAACCTGACCCGACCTGAACTGTTTGCCAGCCCTACTCAAAATGCTAAAACCAACTTCATAATGACTAAAAAACCCTGAATTGCCAAGCTCAAACAAGTCCACAAGCAAGAGACATCACAAGTAATTTTCTTTATTTAAAGAACTTTGAAATTCAAATAAAGCAACTCTATTTAACCTGGTTTCCCAAAATACTTGTCCTTGGACGAGAGCTTATACAAAATTCTTTTATCACACTGCCCATAAGGCTTTTGATCATTATGACAATGGTTAGAATTATATAAACCACCTAAAAAAAATCTAAAGCACTAATTAGATTGAGAGTAATGTGTTACTAGGGTAATAAAAGTCAAACAAAACAAAATGAATGTAAATATAAGGGAGGAGGAAAAGGTGATAGAGTGATTACAAGGAGTTTTATGTAATGGTGGTGTGGTGATACGTGAAGATAGAGGAACTATTACTTTCATTTTGGGGGTAATGGTTACACTAGGGGGAGGGTGGGTAATTATTATCCTCATTATGAGGTTAATGATTCCTCCACCTCTCTCTTTTCCTCATGCCACAAATACCTTACTTCATTTACAAACACCTTATCTCCCTACAACACCACCTCTAAACTTATGTTTTTCAAAGCTTGACTTTTAATATCCCCTTTATTTATTACCCCCAATCCAAGCATGGCCTATATCTAATTACAAAAGCTTTTAAAAGACAATCACTTAATCTAATGGCACAACTTATACACACAAATCCAAAGTCACTTGATATTGAACATGCAAGCAACTCAGCATATACTAAAATAAGATTCAGATGAAGTATACCTCATTATCCAATAAGGTCTTATCACGTTCGGAGGCAAATCTTATTAGTGAAATATGATTCATACAGTCGTCTTCTGAAGGGGCAACCTCATACGTGCTGCAATACATGGCGATAAATATTATTTCTTGGGAATACATGATAATGAACACAATGGATATAATGAATACATGTTGCAAAAAGAAAGCTATAAAACCAAAGAAATCCCACAAACCTGAACACTTTTGACAAGTGGCACCATATAGAGTTTTCAGTAGCCTCTACATTATGTTTAACAAAATGAAGGCAATGGACCGTGATTAGTAGTGACCTAATTGTAGGCTCAAACAGCTTTTTTGGCTTCAGAAGTTTTACCCAAAAGTCACCCTTGCAAAAAACCGAAATCTCAGGCTGTACATAGGAAAGCTCGTATCTCCACGCTACAACTTGTTTAAAAACCTTTCTGAGGCCATCATCAGAAACACCAGTTAAGAACATCTGGAGATTCACAGTATCAACAGGCTTTTCCTTGGGCCAAAGAAGGGGCAAAAATGTAAATGAAACAAGTTCATTTTCCTGGTTTATGAATTGATAATCAGTCACACTCTCTGGGAAAATCTCACCCTCTTCATCCGAAGATTCCATCAAGTAATCCAAAATGACTGCACAAGTCAAAATATATATAAGCTCCACTGTCTACTTCAAGCAGGCCCGTCCCTGCGCCAAATTTGACTTCATAACTAAATCAATAAATCCTAACATTTAAGGGTTCTGCAATACATTAGCAACCAAATTTGATTTAATTATCAAATAAGGCTCATACTTTTAGGGATCTTTGATTCAATTATCAATTTCTTTTCTAACAACATAATCACTGATTATGATCTTTCATAATTTTAGTAATTAGAACCAATAGTTCACATTTTCGAACCCTCAACTTATTATACTGACAATTAGATTAAATCAAAGATAAACCCTAGACTATTAAATGATGAGAAAAAACAGGAACAAAAAAATTCTTGAACAAATAAATTATTCATATTTTATAAAAAGGCGAAATTGATCATAACACTTAAAAAAAATGCAAAAAATTACAGAGCATTGCAGCAACAAAAACAAAGCAAAATCATGTAATATGCAACAATCAAAAATGGTGAAAGAACACAGAGATGGAATTGCTTGAAATTGAAACACATTGCACATAATCAACAAAAAGAAAGGAAGCAGATGAAAATGCAGGAAATTACGAAGCACTTAAAAAAGAAACATAATTATGGGTGATCAAAAGCAAATATAGAATTTTAGAAAATTATAATCATCATAAGAAGTAAAAATAGGGAAGGGATTCATACTGAAGTTGAAAAATCGCAGAAAATTTGGAGCTGAAACCCTAGAAGAGAGAATGTGAAGAAGAAGTGAAGAATTCTGGAAAAATGAAATTGAACGTGGAAGGACGAAGGAGTGGGAAGTTTTAGCAGGATTTTGGTGTCATATTTCAGTGGCGTTGTACACGTGTACGAAGTAGTAAGTATAATACTACCAATTTTAAAATAAAATAAAATAAATTTTGAGTTGTTTTTTAGTTTTCAGTTTTTTGTAAAAAAAATCAAAAATAACAAGTAAGAAAAAGGTGTTTTTACTTTTCCATTATCGATTTTTATAGAATATTATTCATATGATTTTAAAAAACAAAATACCACAATAATGTGATGCCAAACAAAAAACTCAAATGCTTAACTCGTTTTTGGCCTCGAGGTTTTGGCACTTGCCCATTTTAGTATTTTACTGCGAGTATGGAATCAGATATATGAAATAGATTTGTGATTTAGAAAATTTTATTGATTGTGATTCAAGTGTAATTGCAATTCAAATTTTTTAATTTTTTTTTGAAAAATTAATCTATCTATATAAGTAAATTTGAAAACAAAGTTTTATTGAAACCAAAGTTTGTGAAAAAAATAAATAAACAAAATTATACAATACATCGTAATATACAATGTATTAATACCCTAGTACCCATAACGTACATGTACATGTCATGTGCTCGGTATGGATACTATTGTCCATTGAAATACTGGTTAAACTTGTTTTTGGACTATTGCTTCCATAGTTCCATGTTCTCCTAAAAAAAATGTTGTGTCTTTGTAATTCAAAATTTCAAAGTAAAAAACATTCAAGTTTTACATTCTACCCTCACTAAAATAAGTTTCGTCCTCAAAACTCAAAATCTAAAAAAATTTAGACCTAAATGGTCTGACTTACGATGGATTTTTCAAGCCTAACTTTTAGACCTATAGGAAAAATTAGCCTAAATATTCGAGATTCTTAGGCTAAATGGACCGATTTGGGATGTGGTTTTGAGTTAAACTTCGAGCGGGGCTCCAAAAAATGGTTTATTTATCACCTCTAATTTGACTTTGCAAAGTTAGATCGATTTGATATGTGAGAGGTTTCAATTTTATAAAGTGCTTCTTCTTACTAAAAGAAAAATAATAACAATAGATGTATTTGTGGTATTTTCTCTCATAAATAATGTGTGAATCCGAACGAATTTTGATACTAATATAAGTTAATGAACAGTTTATATAAATTATTGAACATATTTACTTTTAAAATTTAGATATAAGTTTTTTGACATTTCATATAAGTTTATGAAAATTCCATACAATTTATTAGCTATATCGGTTTTTGGGTGGGTGGATTCACAGTTGAAACAGACTCACCCAATACTTTATGTTTTCACTTTATGAATGAGAATCTCAAGGGGGGGATCAATGTGAAAAGGAAGGGAAATGAAATACATTAGAGAGAGAAAGCAAATGAACTATAAATTCCGATCCTTAAATGTGATGCTAGAAGTGTAATGGAAAAAAAGAGTTTTACAAAATCCAAGTTTCAATTTCCTTTAAAAAAAATAAAAATTTAAGACATTTGTATTTCCTCAAGATTTGAAATTCATTTCAATTTGAATTGATTAAATTTTAAACACTAATTTTGTTTTTATTTGACATTGTAGCATATGTATGTATAAGGAAAATTTTAGTAATTTTGAGATGATTGCATGTGTGGTCTTCCTAAGTTAAGCACCGTTCGAGTCTTATTGAAAATTATTTCACACAATTTTTGCCGATAAAACACTATGGCCATATATATGAGATATATATATGCACTAAGGGCCTATTCACATTTACTGAACTGAATTGAACTGATTAGAGCTGAACTAAACTGAATAGAGCTAAAATAAATATTTTATGAGAGAAGGAAATTAGGAGTTGAAGTAAACGTAACTTAACTGATAGGAGTTGAACTTAACTGAACTGAACTAATTGGAGTTGAACTGAAATTAAGCTGAAGTGAACAGGCCCTAAGACGGGGTTTCGCTAGCTGTCGCCGTTATTGATGGTGGTGGTTGATCAAATTGGTGGTGTTGGCTGACGGCAATGGTCGTGGTGGTGGTATAAGGCGTAGGGCGCGAGAAGAAATGGGAGAGAATATAGTCAGGGTGTAATGGTCCATTCACACCAAAATAACGACGAGTTTGATTAATTTTGTGGGTGACGTTTAGCGATTCACTTTTGTTATCAAAAATCACAAATTCACAACAAACTAGAATACTAAAATTCAATAAACCCCTGCATTTTGCCAGCTTCCTGCAACCATCATCCAAACCCAGAAAAACCCCACCATTTTCATCACTCTGCAAAATCCTCATCATCTTCTTCCCCTTAAACCCCTCAAAAACCCCACAATTTCATCTCTTACAAAACCCCATTTCAATCCAAAAACCCCATTTCAATGTCAAAACCAACCCCTCAAAGCAATGATCTCTCAAACATAGACCTAAGTCCAGAAGATTTCAATTCATCCCTCCCCATAAAGAAAGTCCCATATGGAGACGTATTCGAGGCGGCTCGAGCCGGAGACGTCGACCGCCTTCGATATCTCCTTGAATCTGGTGTTAATGTCAATGCCAGAGATCAGTGGGATTCAGTGGCACTTTACTATGCTTGTTTAGCTGGTCATCTTGAAGCTGCTCGTATGCTTCTTGAAAATGGCGCCATTTGTGATGAACATACTTTTGATGGTGATCGTTGTCATTATGCTGCCCTTAACATGAAGGTTAGGAAGCTTCTTAAGGCGTTCGAGGCTCGCCCGCCTCCCCTTGGACCGCTTCAGGCCGCTTTGAGGGAGACTTTTCTTGGGTGTACCGCAAACCGGGATAATTTGGAACTGTCTGATAGTCAGCTTCAGTTTTCTGGTCAGTTTTTGTTAATCTGCTTTTGAATTGTGATTTTTATGAGTTTTTTTGCTTGATGTTTTTAGATTTTTTTTGATAAATTTATCAATGTTTTGCCTTTTTTGAAAACTATAGGAGCACATGATTTGGATAAGATGTTATATGATAAAACATTAGTTGCTGGTTAGTTGAGGAAAAAGCATGGTATATTGGTATGTTATTGTGTCAAATGAAGGACATTTACTTTAATCGACCCAAAACGGATGGTTATGTGCTTACGTATACAATTGTAAATGATCGGGTGCTAAATTGTTGGAACTTTAGCAGTGGGAAGCTAGTTTCGTGGTATATGATTATCATATCCATTTGTTTTGCCCATCTGATCAATAATTGTAAGGGGAATGATACCTAGTTGAGGAGCCAAATAATTGGTTGGTTGTCTCACTAGTGCATACATATGAAGGTGTTGCCAATAAGTGAGAAAACTTTAGGAATGGATTTATTTGACTATGAACTATGAAAGCTTGGCATGAATAAAGTGGCAACTGAATTTAGAGTTTGATTGCAAACTTCAGTTCATGACATTCCATTCTTGGAGTTTTGCTGGAGATACTAGTTATAGCTTTTCTATTCGTAGTATTATAGAAGTGATACTTCCTCCGTTCTTTTTTAATTGCAATGGTGGAGTTTTACATTTGCCAATGCACATTTTCTGCCGTTACTAATTAAGTTAAAGTTATAAAAAGGCGATACTTGGAAAGTATATATCGAGAAAAATCAAACAAGTAAGGAATTTATGTGAATAGTGTAAATATCCAAGTTCCAATTTTGTGATTAAAAAGGAGGTAGTATTAGGTATTTTCTTGTGGTGCATCTATACGTGGAAATGGCTGACTTCCTATGAACAGAATTGACAAATATGTTGATGTATTTTATAAGCAAGTAATTACATGGTTTCATCATTCTGTTGGAGAGGTGAGCACAGGATGGGAAAGGTGATATTTGTGTAGTAATATGAGTAATTAAGGCCAGGAATTGCTCTGTTTGCATACATTTTTCTGTGGATAACCAGACCTTGGGGAGTCAAACCTGTTTCCTAATTTAATTATAGTACTTCGCATTTCTAATTCCATCGGGACAATAAAGTTATTACAGTTCAGGAGAATCAGGATTGGACGTACAGGGTGTGGTAAGGTTGTGGAGGGATTAAGGGAGGGTGGAATGATGTTAATTTTTTTCTTTCAAATTATAGTATTGATGAAGGTAATAGCCTGTGGAAGTCACTGTCCTTAACGCCTGAGCATCAGAACCTATACTTGTAGAGATAAAATCAAAATTCTCATATTAAAAAAAATTATAGCTTAATATGACTAAGAGAGAGAATATTTTGAAATTTTGCACCTAAGATTCTTTTGCTCAGTTTGTGGATATTTTAAGGGTTTTTCTGAGGTCCTTGGTTCGACTATATGACTTATGGACTTGTCATAGATGTTTCCTGTAAAAACTATAAGTTATATTTTCGAAGAGATCTATGCTCATTAGTTTTTGGTAATACACCTGGTTCCAGCCACCATCCTCTCCCAGAGCTCTCAGAGATAAAGAATGAGTACACCCTCTGTTTTGTATTGATCGCAAATAATAGGGTGCTCACAAAGTTTAAGAAAATAGGGTGGGAGCCCAAAATAGGATTTTTTTATAAATAAAGTATTGTTATTAGGAGAGAGAAATAAAAATAAAAAGTAGTGTAAGTGGGGTTGGTAGGAAAGAGAAATAGTAAATATTTGTGAAAGTGGGTTTAGTGGGAGAGAGAAATTATAAAATAATAGTGGGTCATTTCCAAATATAGAATTGTTGCAATTAATATGAAACGGATGTAAAAGGAAAGTGTTACGATTAATACGAAACGGAGAGAGTAATATTCAAATTAAATTTCTCCTTGATGGTCATGAATTGAAATACCATTTTCTCCCCAATACTCATTGCATCCTTGCTATTTGAACGCTTCTGGATGTTTTTGGTCATAAATTCTTCATGAAGTTGTATGCCATCTAACTTTTAGAATTAGGGTATTTGACATTCTGTTTATCTTTTGCTCTGCAGGCTCTTCGATGCTAGATGGACTCAATTACAATCACTTTCCTCCAGATATTGTATTTTATGTGCATGGTAGGCCCATAGAAGCTCATAGAGTAATTTTAAGTGCCCGGTCACCATACTTTAAAAAAAAATTTGAGACTGTTTGGAAGGATCGAAGAGAAGTACGATTCTCAAAGGAAAAACTATCTCACCCTGCTCTCTACAGCCTTCTCCACTTCTTTTATTCTG